AAGATGAAAAAAAAAAAAAAAAGTTGTAGCACAGGGAGCTCAGCTCGGTGCTCTGTGATGACCTAGATGGGTGGGATTGGGGGGTGGGGTGGGAGGGAGGTCCAAGGGAGGGGGGGATATATGTATATATCCTGATTCAAGTAGCTGATTCACTTCGTTGTACTGTAGAAACTAACAAAACATTGTAAAGCAGCTATACTCCAACTAAAAAAAAAGTGTCAGGACCACAGGAAATTTACTCGTGATTTTATATTAAAGGACAGTCTCAACTTGAATTTGTTCTTTTCTCTCTTGAGATTTTTTACAACTAGATTCTGTTTGCTCTCTTTGTAAATTCTTTCTTCCCGGTAAGAATCATGTTTGTGAAAAAACCCACAACCGTTAGGTTTATAAGAAAAAAAAAATGAGGCTGGTTCTTTCTTGATTTCATTTTTATGAATATAATTTTTTTCTGATTCCACTTTATTTTTGTCAATCCTTTTCAGTAATTTATTAATTCATAAATATTTGTCTCTACTAGGTGTCAGATACTAAGAATACGGAAAAAGCATAAAACATGGTCTCTGGCGTTTAGAGAAATCAGCAATCTCAGGGGGAAAACTAATGGAAAACCAAATGACTTGTAAGACAAAGAGTGCTGGGGGCAACAGAGCTTATTTTTAACACGGTGTTTGATTACTCTTACTAGGCTGTACATTATATTATTTTTTCAGTATCAGTTTGTGAGTTTTATAACCTTTTTTTAAAGTCTGAAACACTTCTTCCATGTGCAAGCTGTTAATAAAAAAAACATTTGGTGAACAAGTAAAATAACATCCAAGTTGAAAGTTCAAATTCCCAAGGAAGTGCAAATTACTATCAGGATTATGTTTTTTAAAAAGCCAACATAACCCAATCCAAAAATGGGCAGAAGACCTAAACAGACATTTCTCCAAAGAAGATATACAGATTGCCAACAAACACATGAAAGGTTGCTCAACATCACTAATCATTAGAGAAATGCAAATCAAAACTACAATTAGGTATCACCTCACACAAGTCAGAATGGCCATCATCAAAAAATCTACAAATGCTGTAGGGGGTATGGAGAAAAGGGAACCCTCTTTCACTGTTGGTGGGAATGTAAATTGATACAGCCACTATAGAGAACAATATGGAGGTTCCTTAAAAAACTAAAAATAGAACTACCATATGACCGAGCAATCCCACTACTGGGCATATACCCTGAGAAAACCGTAATTCAGAATGAGTCATGTACCACAATGTTCATTGCAGCACTACTTACAATAGCCAGGACATGGAAGGAACCTAAGTGTCCATTGACAGATGAATGGATAAAGAAGATGTGGCACATATATACAATGGAATATTATTCAGCCATAAAAAGAAACAAAATTGAGTTATTTGCAGTGAGGTGGATGGACCTAGAGTCTGTCATACAGAGTGAAGTAAGTCAGAAAGAGAAAAACAAATACCGTATGCTAACACATATATGGAATCTAAAAAAAAAAATGTTCTGATGAACCTAGGTGCAGCACAGGTATAAACACGCAGACATAGAGAATGGACTTGAGGACACAGGGGTGGGGAAGGGTAAGCTGGGACGAATTGAGAGAGTA